TGGCTGCCTGCCACCTCTGCTGCCTCTTTGGTGCGGTGCCTACCCTACACTAATGCGCTGGTGCATACTGCACTGCTGTAGTACCTGGTACTGGTGTACGTTGTCCTTCGATTTTCTATTTTTTGTGGGAATATAGACTATTATATGTGTTTGTTTTTCGCCCCCCGTCTTGCTGCACCCCCTGGGGTGTGGTGCAGGGCGGGGGATGCCTGGTCGGCGGGAACCCGGCACGGAACCCTCCGGCGTTGTAGGCGGGTGTGGGAAGCGTTCCCCGTTCTCCTTTTATTTTATTTTGATCGGTCTCCTCGACGCTCTTTCTCGTTTGGTGCGGTAGCTGGTCTTTCTTTCTATCATTTTGTTTCTCTTCCGAGTGGTTTTTGTACCCTATTTTTTTCTGTTTCTTCGTGGGGTCGGGTATGCCGGGTTTTGAGACCACGGGCTCCCAATCTTTTTTTTTTTAGAGCTAACCCTAATGTGGAGTGAACTATTTTAGGAGATCATTCTTTCACCTGTCACTCTTGTCATGCGTATTTATTTCTAGAATGTTCTCTTCCTTGGTGTCCTTTAATTTATGGGGCTGTGATCCTCCTGACGCCTCTCCTCCACCATGAACTCATGTTTCTTGTACGGCCTCCCTTTGTCTTGTGCGTGTCAAGTCCGTACCATCGAGCGTAAGAGTTTCTGCAACGCAGCTTGCATCAGCCAAGCGTGCTAACCCTAAGAACATGGGCGTCGTTGTCGTGATGCAGGATTATGTGTGTGTGACGACGGTACCGCCATGAAAATGATGAAAGAACGGACGGACACCGATCGCCTATAACCCGATGTAGATACCGCAGTCGAGACGAAACTCTCACCATCATCGACAACTAACTGCATGCAAAGGTTACGCTTAGACTAACCTAATTTTGCATCTTCAGAGAGGTGTGCTTCGAACCTCTCGTTGGCGCGAGCCAAACAAGTGTGTGTGTAGAGACGCAGCCACAGGGTGCGCATCCTGCTGATTGGATGAAGCTTCAACTTGATGGCGAGTAGACAAGCTTGCGTAAAACATGATTGATGTCAGAGAAATTTGGGGTCGAGGGCACCTGCGTCGTATGAGGCTGAGACGGCCGACCACAGACACAGCAAACGTTGACTCAGGAGGCACTAACTGAGGGTGTATGTTGCTAGGGCAAGGATGGGGGATTTATCGCGCCTCCGGGAACGCGTTTCGAGACTTCCTGTTCACGGCATCAGAGACATCTGTTTTCGAAGGACAAAGGAACGGCAAATCCTCCAGAGATCGTATCGGTCTCTTAAAGGATTTTTTTTGTGGTCACAAGGCCCTATTGTGCACTGCGAAACCGACACATGTTGTGGATTGAATTTGCTACCCGACCGGTCAATTTTAAAAAACAAAAAATCTTCAGGTGTTTGTGGGGAACCTCTGCATACCGTGCAGCCCCTGTGTGTTCCATGAGAGGAGAGCTTTATTAGATATACTCGTAGCATAGCATGGTGGGTGATATCTTACGTATTCATGTAGTGACGAGTGCGGAGGAACAGGAAGTTTCTTCATACTTTCCTTGGGAGTGTGATGGCATGGTGGAGATTCATGGACATTCGTTAGGTACTTTGAGCGTGATGAGCGTGACCCGTGACTCCATGCCGTGACCGATTGACGAGCTGAAGCACGCCCCCGATGAATTCACAATACGTTTTACAACACGTTTTCCTACACGTCCCTACCCTACCACGGCCCGTCATGGCCCAGCTGCTCTACACTCCCAACACAAAGAACTGAGCCACCGAATTATCGATCACGCTAGCGTATGACACGTCGTCAACGATATTCGCGTCGAGCTTAGTTTGGAGTTACATCGCTTTGCGGCGATCAGCAGCTGTCACCGATGAGCACCCCCGACCGAAACCGAGACCGAGAAGGCGACCGTCAAGCAGAGGACGACGACGCCCGGATCAACGAGTTGGTGAACGAGAGGGTAGCAGCAAGACTGGCCGAGATTACAAGGCAACAAGACGAGCAGCAGCAGAGGACAGATCACGTCCGGAGCGGGAACGACCACGAGACACGCCACCAGCAACATGCGGGGCGACCATCGGCCGGCCCGTCCACAGACGACATCGCCCGCACTCTCGTCGACGCCCTGACCAGCCGTCTTCAGATAACACCCGGAGACATGGGTAGAGTACCAAGTAGCGCAGCGACTCTTAGGATGACTGAGATTAAGCGCCTAGCGCCGTGGGATGGTGTGATTAGGCAAGGGGAGGATGAGCAGGCAAAGTTTTTGATTTTTCGGTCAAACATGATTGCTATGTTTGCGCAAGAAGGAGTCCGGGAAGTGGTATTGAGTGACCGCAGAATTCCAGTTGGGCTAGAAGGAGTAGACATGGAGGACTTACGTAGGATGCACTCGCCTGAGACGGTAGACAAGGCGATCACGGCGTGGAATTTGATTATCACGACAATCACCTACATGCCTGTCTTGACCCAGATTATTGCTGATGGTAGTCCCAGTGGAGGTTGGAAACTATTTCTAGCATACTACGAACCCCAGGCAAGGGCAGAAAAAACACGGTTGACTGCAGAATACCATGCAATCAAAATGCGAGTGGGTGAAACCCCGCAAGAATACTTCGGGAGATTTGCTGTTTTGCGCAGTAGGTTAGCCTCACACGGCGTCACGTACCCCGACGATGATGCCAATCTGCACGTTGTGTACAACTTGTCTTCAGAGTACAAGATGGAGAAAGCCATGCTGCGTGCCCTTCCGCCCCCCAATTTAACCCGTCAGCACCTTGAAAAGGTCGTGAAAGATGCCCATCAGGATATGGTGACCGCACGGGAGGGGGAGCCGCAGAATGGCGCGGGGCACGCTTTCGTCGCTGCCGGTGGGAACCGGGGCGATGGACGTGTCCAAAATGGGTCCAGTGGGAACGGCGGGGGTCAGGACGGCAGTGGAGGCGGTCGGAGCAGCAACAACAGGGCGGACGGAGACAAGAGCTGCGACTATCATCCGTACTCGTCGCACACCAACAGCGAGTGCTACACCCAGCGTCGCCAACGGAAGAAGCAGCAGCCCAATCAGCAACAGCCTCAGCAACAGCCTCAGCAACAGCAGCAGCCCCAACAACAGCAACAGCCCCCACACCAGCAGCGGCCTCAGCAGCAACAGCAACCTCGGGGACCGCCGCCACAGCAGCCGAGCCGCAGTGGGGGGGGCTGGGGGGGTGGGCCCCAGCACGGACCTCACGGCGGCTACGGAGGACAGCAGCATCACGGACATCCAGCTCCCCCCCGTACACCGCAGCAGCAGTGGCGGCCCCCGCACGGGCATGCAAATGTGAGTCAAACGTATAGTGCTGCGCCCCATGGGGGGCCCGCGTATGGCACCGAGTATGGGGGGTGGGAGCAGCAGCCACAGTATCAGCAACCGTCGCAAGACTACAGCTACCAGCAGCAGCCGTACTACCCGCCTCCGACACCGTACTACCAGCAGCAGCAGCAGCCACCGCCGCAGCCTCCGCCACCGCCGTCGTTCCAGCAGCAGCAGCAGCACTCGACCCATGCCCCGTACCATTCGCCTCCTCCCGACGCAGCCGGATCCCCTGGGCATCTTCACTTCCTCAAGACACGTTTTGTGTCACAAGGCGAGATCTTTCCAAATGTGGTAGCGCGTGAGAATGGTAGTGGTTTCGCTTTGTCTGTTCAGAGTCGCCCTTCGCAGATTGGTAGAGAGCAATTTTGGGCCGACAGCGGCGCGAGCAACACGTTTGTCAGCAGTAGCGAAAACATGTTCGACATGAAGCCAATCCCAGCAGGAAAAGAGTTCATCCAAGTAGGGAATGGTGCCTATCTGCGCGTGCAATGTGTTGGTAGCATCAACATGGCATTTCACATGCCCGGCCCTTCGGGCGAGACCGATTTTTGCGTGCAGATGTCGGACGTGTACGTAGTCCCCGGCATCACATTCAATCTGTTTTCTCTCCACCATACGCAGCGTAGGCAGAGAATTATGTTGGATGAGAATGGCGTGCATCTCTTCAATGGCCAGCTTTCCTTTGCCTACTCCGATGTAGGATGTTCACTTTGGGCCACTCGCTTGCCTCCCACGTATACCGGTAGTGCTGTGACCCTCGGTCCCGATGCCCTCCCTCGTGTGTCTCCCCAAGCTCCCTCGCCTAGCGTTGGGACAGGCCTTGTTGTTGCGAACCCCCCTTTCCCACCAAACACAGGAGCGGGCACACCTGCGAGTACGAGCTTCCAGTCCGCCGGTGGAGTCGCTGCCGGTGTTGTACCTTCGAGTTCGAGTGCGAGTCCGAGCTTCCAGTCCGCCGGTGGTGCCACTGCCGGTGTTGTACCTTGGTCTGCGAGTGCATCTTCGAGCTTCCCATCCGCCACTTCCGGTGTAGTGCTTCCGCATTGTGCATTCCCGCCCATCGACGTAGATGTAGTGCCAACGACTATTGCCGACTTCCAGCCTGTAATTACGGCTGCCGTAGCATCGTCTGAGATTGTTTCTCCCTCCGTCGTTGACCCGAGCGATTCTCGTGAAGTTGTGATCAACCCCCTCATCCCCCAGGACCATTTGCCTCTCATGGATATGAGCATGTTCCTTGATGTTGGCCTGATGGATGGAAAAGACTCGGTCCCACAGGGTGATTTTTTTCCGGATGCCCTTGATGTTTGCGATTCCGCAACACCCCCTCCCCCCGCGTTTCCCGTGATGAGTGATGACTTGGAGTGCCTGAAAGGTTTTGTTGCTGGATGCAGTGAGCAGCAGACCGTAGCTCCCCCCTCTCTCTCGCATGCCTTGGCGATTATCGCCCCCGGTGCTTCCCCATTTTCGGTAGGAAAATCCACGCCCACCATCGACATTAATTTGTTCCATGCCTCCACCGGCCATGTCAACGAATTCTTGATGCGTGAAACGGCCAAGCAGCAGGGCGTACGATTGGTGGGGGAGATGCAGCCGTGTGTGGGCTGCGTGGAAGCGAAGGGTAGGCGGGCCCCGGTGCCGCGGCGTGGCACCCGCGCGGCGGTACCGTTCGGCAAAATCCACATCGACCTCACGGGCCCGTTCTCTGACGCGTTGGACGGCTCCCGGTATCTGATCATGTTCGTGGACAGCGCATCGCGGTGGCAACGGGGGTACGAGATGCGGGCCAAGAGCGACACCCTGAAGTTCGTGCAGCGGTTTCTCGCCGACATGAACGGCATGGGCACTCCGGGGTGTTTCCGCATGGACAACGGCGGCGAGTTCACCGGCTCCGCGTTCACCTCGTTCTGCGACGCTGCTGGCATTCGGCGCGAGTACACCGCCCCCGACACCCCCAAGCAAAACGCGGTGGTCGAGAGCGCCATTTGGCGCGCCATGAAGGGGGGCCACGCCGCTCGCCGCCACATCCTCGCCATGGGCCACGTCGACCTCTCCTCCGTCCCCAACGTCGGCGTCAACGGACATCGCCTGTGGCTCGCGTCGGCGCTGTGGGCATCCGCCTGCTTCAACCGCTCGGCGACGAAGGCCAACCTGGGCTGGATGTCTCCGTTTGAGGCGTTCTTCGGCCGGAAACCGCCCCTCACCGTCGTCCCTTTTTTCCAGGAGGGGATGATGCGCGTGAAGCGGGCTACCAAGGCGGACGTCCAATCCGCGCGGTGCTTCTACCTGCACGGCGCCAACAACCACTCGACGTCTACCGCCGTCGTTCTTCGCGCTGACACCGGTCGCCTCGCCCTCACCAACAACGTCGTGTGGGTCAACCGCCGGGCAGGAGCGCCGGCGCCGGTGCCGGCCATCGGGGGGGGTTCTTCGGTCACCGCGGCGCCCTCGCCGGGCGCCGCCGTACCTGCGGCCGCTGCCGCACCGCCGCCGCCCCCGTCGACAAGGATGTACACATACATCCCGCCTGCACCACCGACCACCACACCGCCGCCGCCCGCTTCTCCGCCGATCTTCACAGGATCATCAGCCCCGTCGCCGATCTCCACGGCGTCGTCGAGTGCACCGCCGTCCACCGTAGCCACGCCGCCCCGTCCACCGCCGACACCACCGCCCGCAAGCGCCGCCGCTCCCGCTCCCCATCACCCGCCGCTTTCACAGCGAGCCGTCAGAGAGTTGGGCGAGAAGGAAACCAGGGTACATGGCCGTACGCGCGGCGACCGAGTGCGCTTCATGGATGAGCAACAGCAACCGCCGTCGCCGTCAGGTGGCGGCACCGCTCTCCACCACCGCCTTGGACTGTTGGCGATGATGGACAAGGACTCCCTCATCTCGTCGCTGGCCACCCGCGAGGCCGTCGACCAAGGACGGTGTGACCCACCGCCTCCGCCGCCGCCGGATCCGAGCTTTGGAGGCCGTGAGAGCGGGGGGGCAGTGGGAGCTGGGGGGCCCGTGGATTCCGGGGGGGGGGGAGACCGCACATGTTCGCCTCGATGTTCGCCACCCGCGAGGACGTGGACGCTGCTCTTCGCGCCGAGCGTCCTCCTGACAAGATGCCGGACCTTCCTCACTGCCTCGCCAGCGACCTCCGAGTGCCGAAAACGTTGAAGGAGGCCATGCGGTCTCAACATTCAGAGTTGTGGGATGATGCAGTCGGTCGAGAGTTTTTCGGTTTGCTGGATGCAGGAACTTTTAGTCCGGTGTAGCAACCAGTAGAGAACGCCATCAATGCCAAGTGGGTTTTTAACTGTAAAGCAGACGAGTACGGATGGCCGACTAAATTCAAGGCAAGACTTGTAGCACGGGGGGACATGCAGAGGGCTTCGATTGATTTTGGAGAATTGTTTGCACCCACCGTATCAGTGTCTAGTGTGCGCTTGTTGGCAGCATTAGCATGTGAGCAGAATCTTGACTTGTGCCATTTCGATATTCAGCAGGCTTTTGTGCAGTCTGAGCTTGATGAGGATGTTTTCATGCGCTTACCGCAGGGTTGTGGTAGGTTATCTGGCCTGATCGTGAAGCTGTGCAAGAGTCTGTATGGTTTGAAGCAGGCATCACGACATTGGCATGCGCACCTGACGAGGTGTTTGTTACTTTTAGGTTTTTTGCAGTGTCTGGCGGATGCATGTGTTTTTCGATTGATGGAGGAGGGACGTGTGATCATGATCATCGTGGTCCACGTAGATGATATTTTTGCCGTAGGGCAGAAGGAGAGGTGTGACAAGTTTGGCAGGGATCTCAACGAGATGGTCCCCGTGAAGAACCTTGGAGAGTTGAGGTGGTACTCCGCGTGCTTTTACGAGAGAGACGTAGAGAGAGGGCTGCTGAAGATTTCACAACAGAGGTTTGCCGAAGAGTTGGCTGCGGAGTATGGCGTTGAGTGGGGGCAGAGTGTGCCTCTGCCTGTTAGCGTAAAGCTCACCGACTTTGACGTGAATGAAGCGAGTGCTGACGTCCCTTTTCGCGAGTTGGTAGGATCTCTGATGTGGTTGGCCACTCAAACAAGGCCGGACATCGCGAATGCAGTACGAGCAGTAGCGCGGTATTGCGCGTCTCCCAAGATGGTGCACTGGAAGGCAGCACTCGGTATTTTAGGGTACGTACGCAGGACGAGTTGGATGGGGATTACATTTGAGAGGGGCGTCGTGACAGGTATGAGCATGCAGGTGTTTGTGGATGCCGACTATGCAAGCAAGGCGGCAGACCGGAGGTCGGTATCAGGGGGGCTAGTGATGTGTGGGGGGGGGTGTGTGACTTGGTTTTCACGAACGCAGAAATGCGTCACCCTTTCCACCACGGAAGCAGAGTATGTGGCAATTGCCGACGTCTTGAAGGAAGTGTTGTTCTTAAGGCAGGTGTGGCGTTTTATGTTGCCAGATGCGGGTATGCCGTGCATCCCGGTGTTCGAGGATAATCAGGGAGCGATTCAGATTGCGCACAACCCGATCACGAACTCCAACTCGAAGCACATCGATGTACGGCATCACTTTATCAGGGAGCTGGTAGAGAGGAAGGAGATTACTATTACTCATGTGCCGACGCAATTTCAGCATGCAGACTTCTTGACGAAGGCTATTAGCAAGGAGTCTTTTGCGTTGCACCGTGACTTTGTGATGAACTTGCAGTGAAGGAAGTGTTTTGGGGTCGATTCGTATTCTGTAGTAGAGAGAGAAAGAGAAAGACGAGATTGGACAAGAAAAAGAGAGAGTCCGATGAAGATCGTAGGGGTTTTGGTTGTGTTGGGAATTTTTTTGATTATTTTGGAGTAGTATTGGTTGTGTTGGAATTTTTCTTGATTGTCTTGGAGGAGTTTTTCTTGTTTTGGAGATGGTGGTTACGGTGAGGGTAATATTAATATTTTGCCGGAGCATGGCGATGCATACGAGCAGGGGGGCTATTAGATATACTCGTAGCATAGCATGGTGGGTGATATCTTACGTATTCATGTAGTGACGAGTGCGGAGGAACAGGAAGTTTCTTCATACTTTCCTTGGGAGTGTGATGGCATGGTGGAGATTCATGGACATTCGTTAGGTACTTTGAGCGTGATGAGCGTGACCCGTGACTCCATGCCGTGACCGATTGACGAGCTGAAGCACGCCCCCGATGAATTCACAATACGTTTTACAACACGTTTTCCTTCACGTCCCTACCCTACCACGGCCCGTCATGGCCCAGCTGCTCTACACTCCCAACACAAAGAACTGAGCCACCGAATTATCGATCAAGCTTCTCCGTTCTTTGTAGGACGCATCATCTTGCGTCTCTCCCGCTGCTCCTTTGCTTTAGATGCGCTAATTGACGCGGTGATGACCCTTGTCGCTCGTACAAGGTCGAAGTACAGCGGGACGATGAAGAATTGCTGGGGGGATTCATGAAAGTCGGCCGGGCGGTGGAATCACCTTGAGGCACATGCACGAGGCTGCGGAAGCAGTCTAGTGCCGCCCCAGTGCCGTGGATCTAGTTTGCGTGTCTGCTTGGTCGTGTGTTGCGACAATGCATTGCGGCCTAAAGGCAACACACTTGCGTGCGAGTGCTTGACTCAACAGATAGCCGAAAGCGTGGGGCATGTACTCATTGTTCCTTCCACTTCGCAAAAAGAAAAATGGAGTCTATCAACCAGATTTGTTAACCGAACATGATTCTGAGATGATCGTTGAACTGTTCGAAGAGCTAAGAAAACATGGACCAATGGCCAAAGATTATGAGGTCTTCGAACCTTCATCCAGAGCTTCATTGTTCTACGCTGCCGCGTTATTTGCTCCGCGACACACAACAGAACGAGAACGTTCAGGAAGAGGTTCATTTTAACTTCCGAGTGCGTGTCACGGCAGCAAGACAATCGCCCAACACTGAACTAATCAAACCAACCATGATCTGCGCGATATTCGCTACCAACAGAATTTGAGCATAGGATGCGAAGACAATAGTCCAAGTAGCGCAGCGCGGGAGGAACAGCGTCAATCATGCATTAAGGTATGACATGCGGGTCTATACCACGTCTTGTACACTCCGGCAGGCCTATGGCTGAGATCGCGGACAATCAAAGGAACGCGAAGAGTGTGAGCCCTAGCACATCGGTGGTCGAGCTGCAGCAGAGTTCGTTGGGCACACGTGCGGCGACCGAGCTACATCTGTTCATCGATCATTCAAAGTCGACCGCCCTGATGAGCCGAAGCGTCCCGCTACGAATTCGTTAAAGAATATACCAAGAGCACTGCTCAGGGTGGGAAAGGCACGAAAATAGGAATACTCCGGAGTCGTATGTGGTGGAATCCTTGATTAGAGGCTGATGGGTTGAGTTCACGTTCATTGTTAGGTGAGACCTAGATTGGTTGGGGTGGTTAGTCCACGCAACAGAGGGGTGTGTCGCCGCTACAGCACTTCTAAAAGCAAGTCCGCTCCTTGTTCGATGAAGTCGCCTAGCACTCCTGTTACAAGCAGAGAGGCCGGTTGCTGGATAAACGCTTCGACCAAAAGAGCCAGCACACACGTGGCCAGCCAATCTGTCGAGGTCGTTCTGCCACGGTGAAGAGCGGCGGGCAGAGCACACACACATAGTCCATGTCATCGTGTGGTCTCTGCAGTCTAGCGAATAGTGAGATAACTTGGTCTTGGGTATTGTTTTCATGTACTTCTGCCTCGGTTTGGAATGGCGCAAGCTTGTGATCATGGAGAATTTGTGGCTGTACGATTGAAGGGTGGTGTCCAAGAGGAAGAAGTGGAAGGAGGCAGAGAGGGTTGAATGCGAATAGCGAACAACAGAAACAACTCTTGCCGAGTTCGAGGGAGGTCCTGCGGTAAACGAGGTCAACGGAGCAACAGCTGTTGAGTTGGATACGAAGGAGCTCACCGATCAAACTTGATGGCGAAGACCATGTTGGTGTAGATTAGACACAGGATGGTTATGTATAGCGCCCCACTCGCAAGCACTTGCATCCCACGTCGTTGCCGACGACAGCCATGCAACCATGTGTGGAACTCTAGTGCTCGGGTCATCCTCACGGAAGCATGATGAATTCTGCCCCGACATCGTCCAACAGCATCGTGCGTGTACAAGTGGTGCGAACGTTCATCTTTGCCGTACCAACTGAGGTGTCCGACCGATGAAACCACAGATTTTCTTGCTTGGTCTATTTCATGGTGGGAGGGGGACCAACGTTGTGGCTGTGCAAAAAAAACAGTGCAAGCAACTACCACACATAGCGTAAGACGGGAACTCGACCGGCCGATGAAGGTGGTGACACTAAAATGATATCAACTAATTGAACTTTCAGCTTTCGTTAAGCCCACACCACGGTTTCTCGCCGTCAAACGATAGCAACAAGTGATCTATCTGCTCCAGATTCAACAGTCAAACTGCAGCTTGTCGCACCTGTAGCAACGCTGGACAATTTCTGCGGCCTTGTGCATTTCCCTGGTGGGCTGCGACCACGCGGCGACCAGATCGCCCTCGATCAATTCGTTCAGAATGTCTTCACATTTTCGTTGAACTCCGACCAAATACGAACCGACCAGCGCCACAGCCGCACCAAGAACAGCCCCTGGTTAGCAAGGTTCAGCGTGGTGTTGGCGCTAGCGCATCGAACGCGATGGTAGCAAGGCATGCTAAAAGCACCGGCTTTAAGTGGCTTCGATAACCGCACTTGAAAAGGAGCAAGGAGGTTTGTAATGGTTTCCCCGCCAGGAGGTGAAGCTGTTGACATCGAAAACGCAAGTGACCTCGATGAGGTGGCATCAAATGCGTACTCACCCGCCGCAATGGAAGCACTCGAACTGTACAAGAGAACTCCGCACAACGCCAGACCCGGGGCGACGACCGCCTGGAAAGTCGTCGTCTGTACCATGATGCGAGCGCTGCGACTCACGACAGCAAAGGCTGACAACGCACATAACACAGAACACGCCACGCTAAGAGATGTGACCATGTTGTGCAAGAACGCGTGCTCGTCTCCCCCGGCTGCTTCGGCTTCCCCCGAAATTCTTAGCACCTGCCATTTGCACAGAACACGGTATCGGCGTTTCATTTCAGAGCTCGAGGTGAAACCAGCTGAGCATGAGCAGAAATCATTTTGAGAAGTCTTCCAACTCACCAGGGCACTTCGATTACATTTGTTTCGCGCAAGGTCGCCGACTGTCACATCGTGCCCATGTCCTTGTTGCTGTACGGGCATGCAGCACGGAAGACGCAAGCGTTGGGGAGTGAACAAAAGCTACGCTGTGTGAAAAAGTGACACTAACATCGCGGTAAGTGTGTGGGTAAACCCTGTTCATGTAGCTTTAGTGTGAAACGTCTATCCTGCTCCGGACATTCACCTCAGATACGAGCATCGCCAGCAACATGGGAAGCGGGAGGTAGACCAGAAGCAGCGTTTTCTGCATCGCCACAACGTCCCTGTAAGCTGCTGTTTGAAAAACCGGCGTGGTGGTAGTCGCCGAGAAATAGATCTCGTTGGGTGAACGTCTTACGTCCGCCACGAACCTGAAGGTATTAGACAAGCCAGTCGGCTTCAAATCACTGGTGGACATTGAACGTGAAAACCTATTTCTATTATTGTTTTTTTTTCAATGATACATTCTTCTCAAACGCAGTTTGCTTCTGAAACGGCGAGCTGCATTAAACGACGAGCTTCTCGGTGTACTTTTTTCGGGATCCCAAACCCCATGAATACCACAACCGCAGAGGGGTTGATAATGCGTCGAGAGCTCACAGTGTCGGGGCTACAGACATGGGTGTACACATAATATGCTGTGGCCGCCAATGGCGGGGTGATATTTCGTTAGGACACAAATGAGTTGTGATGTGTGCATTGGCTGTACACCTTGGTTCTCAACACAAGATTCCCACCCTGTCCCATGTCCACAAGCACCACACCGTTACTGTGGTTGGCCGTGAGATTATTCTTGGAGAAAGCGTCGCACTCCGCCTTACCTGGTGGGTGCTGTCTTGCGCGGAGGGCTGTCTCGAGGGGCGCTGAAGCCACCTCGATGTATCTGCCCCCGCGCGTTAGAGCGTGCTGTCAACAAGAATGAAAAATAGTGGGTTCAAGCTATTACGGATCAGGGGAGCATGCTCGGCACGATCCATTAAAGAAAATGTTTCTATTATTGCATCACGCGAACGTGTTAGTTCATGTCCCACACACGGACCTTGCGAAACCTAGCAAGACAAACAAGCGGTGAGTATGCCTGGTCATAAGTAGTACTTCAGGTCCAAGGCATGGCCACGTACGGGTGCGATGCAGGCTGTGCCGAAACTTGCTGGCACGTATCGACGGAGACCGCTCACCGTCTTGGAGAGCTATCCGAAAATCGTTAACGCGCTCCTCCTGTTTTCGTTGGAGCTCATCGTAGAGGTCATGGTTGGGGCCCGCTGGTTCCTCCTGTCGGACTGCAACCCTCTTTAGCGTTTGTGATGCGGGTGGGGTATTGCCAGCCCGTAGCAGAGCTGGAAATATCACGCCGGTCGGGAGCATCAACAGCGCGCTAACTACCGTCATTTCCACCTGCACGGATATTGGAGCGCAATGTGCTGGGGTTGCACGTTCCTGCGACAGAGCTTGTATCCATCTGCAGGGGCAACGCTTGCGTGTCCAAGTATTTGGGGCGTTGCATAACACCCTCTCGTCGTAGGGCAGCGATGTGAACAGCAGCATCCCACCTTTTGCCTCACGCCAAACTGGCTTTTTCCATAGAAAATAGCCTGCAGCAGAATGGCGCTCATCCAGTCAGCCAGTAGAAGGACAAGGTGCTGAGACCTGCCAAATACGTCAGAGGGGGTGTCGGTACGGGATGAACCGTCCGTACCTACCACCCTCAATATAGTTTGGGCCATGTGAACATACGTTGAAAGGTCAAGGTTCTCGAATGCCTGTTCAGTACGGATGGACCCCCGACAATAGAAGATTGGACACCGCGTCTTCTGGGGTACATCGGATTCGCAAGGAATGGGCCACGACAAGGACATGCTCAGTAGCATACCTTGTGAGTAGCGTCTTGCTGAAGTGGGCCGTCGGAGATTCGCTGAGATGCCGCCAAGAGTGGTTAAACAGGACACTCTCAGCCGCTACCTGGATGACGCGTAACCGTCACGGTGTCAAAAAGCAATTGAGCACTGACAGTTTTCCTATCAATACTCCTGTCAACCTCGTATACCAGTTGAGGTAATTCAGGACTGGTATCAGCGGCTAATATCATCTTGATCTGCCTCCAATAGAGGCATTTGCTCTGCCTAACGGGAGCAACAAGTTTTTTTCTAGTTTGCCCGCTGCTTGAACTTGCATGTAGCAGCTCTTTTTGCCACCTGCAATACCCTGAGGCCGAACTACAGGAACTAAAGCTGGCCTTCAGAATAAATGGCCTCGAGGACACACCTTGCTCATGTTCTTCTCGCTCTTGAAGACCAAGGGCATGTGGTGGAAGACGTTGCCGTCTCTCTCACGGGCCCGGTCTTCTATCAACGCTTGACGGGCGGCCTGTGCCCTATCACGTACCTGGCAAGGGTTCACAACGTGTGAAGGGTAGGTTATTGTGAACCAATTGTGAAAGACGTTGGCGCCCTTTCACAGGTTGTGCCAACGCGGGCTGGTTTTACTGTGTTACGCAAACCTTCCTCTTTGCTTTCCAACGGAATATCATTCACATCTTAGCTGCTGATATACACCCCAGACACACCATCGAGTGAAACAAGCACGTACTATACCCGGTACAACCGTCCACAAGCTCGATACTCTATATCATGAACGGTCACTAGTTGGAGGCTAGAAACACCGACTATGCTCCGTGACGAACAATAAATGGCAGCAAAAGCAAGATCTTTCCGTGTGCTCAAGATTGCAACAGTCCTGTCAATGTGCCGTGTGCCAAAGCTGTTTAAGTGAAACATGTACGTGTACCAGGTGTTCCATGGGGCGTGTTTCGCGACCGCTCCTGCCGCGTGCCAAGTACGTACTCCAAAGGACTTCAATGTCGCCACGATGTCGGCCGGGCGTAGTGTCCTACAAGTACGTGAAAGGTGAAAGCGAACAACACAGCGAGGCATGTAGCCTAGAGATTTGAGTCAAACTGATGCGAGTTGAGCAAGGAGCAGAACAGCGCAATAAACCATAGTCCATGCTCGCAACACGCGTATCAATAGCTGCTCATTCGCGCGGACCTGCGATTTAGACGAGAGGGAGGATCGAATTGCGGTAATGAGGTGCCCGACAACCAAGTGGTGCACCCTGTGACCCTCAAACCTTGCGGGAGAACCATGCGGCAGGAACGAGAAGTGCAGATACGACGCAGCTCAAGAAGAGAAGGCCTGCCCAGCTTTCGGCACCGTACTGCCAGGGCACACACACGTGAGAATGTTGCGGTGACTCGGTTAGGCTTGTAGTGTTCAGTGAACAGCCTGATATTTCCTCGCCACTGCCCACTATACCATGTATGCCATCCACGAAAAGAAAAATCGCCCTTCGCAAACAGTGCTGAAGTGCGAAGGCACACGCATGTACATCATCTGAAGGCCTGAAGGCTTCCTGTGCCACCAGTTTGGTATAGAAATGTGGGCAAATCATTGAACATTGACAGAACGGTATTTTTTATCCTGGAGTACAGGTTCCAGCGATTTCATTGGGAGCAAATAGCAGGTGCATCCTAAAGCTCTTGTCGACGTTGAGCAAATTTTGTCCCATACCTGTGCCAGGACAGTGAAGTCAGTAAGTAGATCGAGCGTATTCCATTGCGGGGTCGTCGAGTCCATCCGGCTAGTGAACGCCGTGAGATGGTACGTTGCGCATTGGATAACGGCAGCGGTTGAGTCCGGATCCCATCCCAGCGAACCGAGCACCACTCCATCCGTTTCCCAGCTATCACTCACTTCCGACCAGTAGCCGCAACCAAGGTGACCAACATCATCTTTCTCGATGTCAGCTCCAAGATCGATGGCGTCCGGGTCCTATACAGACGACACAAGCAAGCACGTATTTGACAGGTATGATCTGGAATTGTTGGTCCTTTAACGACCATACTCCGCATGTCTGGCGGGCATTGAACCGGCCAGAGCCTCTCTCGACCATTGCTTATGCTAAGCTCGATTGCGTATTTTGCGAGTGTGCATGACACCAGAATGTTTTGTCCATATCTGCGTTTCTAAAACGTGCTGTTCCTGTTGCGTGACGGAGCACCTCACCGGAATCGCCATGGACAAGTCGATGGGCCAAGCAAACTGTTTCTCAGGAACTCCTGCCGAATCCCAAGCATCAACGACGGTCACACCGTCCATATCTGCAGCATCATCGGAAGTGCCGAGAGACACGCATTATGCTTCAGGTACAGGGACCTGGATATGTCAAGATTGGCCTGTGTAGCAGTGCCCGATTATTTGGTTCACCACAAAGCCTACCAGACTGTTCGTCCACACAGACCTCTCTGTCTGTGTGCCACCCATCTCAAGCTCACCATATCTGTTGAAACAAGATACTTTTATCCGGACCATGCACACCGTCGTGTGAGAGATTGGCGAGCGTGTCGCCACCGACGGTTGTTGCTCGGCTAATGGGGAGATTTAAGCGCAGGAGTTGCCCTGGGCTCTACTCGCAGCATTATTACATTGCCATACCCTATGGACTCCAATCGCGTGTACCAAAACTAGAAGCTGTAGAGATGCAACTACCATATGGTAACATTGTTTTGGTGGTACGTCTTATCGAACACACCGTATCCTAAAAACATGTGTTTTTTCGAGTTCGACTCCGTTAGAGCCAAGGAACAACCAGTTACGTACGGTGTATAGCCACCACCGTGGAAGGCAAGCATTCGACGTGAGATGAATTTCAATTTGTTGAAAGTCCAGTTTCCGCCGATCGCTAAACTATTAAGACCTTACCTGGTGGCCTAATAAGTACTTGACGAGCGATTGCTCCCTGGTGTTTCCAAAGTTCAATCCAAGCTGATCCGTTTCTGCAGGAAATGAGGTCGTCGATATAGCTAGATCTAGCGTCACGTTTACGTTACACCAGCACTTTAGAAGACAGGAAACCTTATTACCTGAGCCTGTGGAGCTGAAGACTGCCACCGAAAACGTCCGCGCGCCACCGAACTCCTGATCGAAACCGATGGCGGCATCCCATGAACTGAAAGAGATGTGCGTTCCGTTTGGTCCTACAGATATAGTTGTCGCTGACATGTCCATCGAATGAACTTTGGCGGGCTGCAAAACGTCAAAGCGACGACAGGGTGATGGGGGGAGCACGTGGAAGAATGCGAAAAGGATATCGAGATCCAGTATCCGAGTGCGCTCGGCAGCAGAACGGTAGGGCAGAGTCGTCTAGAGCCAGAATGAACCATTCGGAACATGCAGGCACGTCTTCCAAAAGGTACCGGCAGAAACACGACCGCTCGTTTCTCGAGCATAGAGTTTCCTCTAACCCACTCTCCGTTTGGTTCGGTCGCTGTTTGTCTCGTCGCGGTGCTATGTCGTTTCCAAGAATAGCTGGGAGATCCTCATCCCGTTCCCTGGTCTGCCTTCGACCTGCGGGGGATGCCGTTGGTAAATCTACATCCAGAACCACGGAATATCACGACCGATTCAAAAGCACCTGCAAGACCAAAGAACCCGCGCTCGTCGCCTCCAGCTCCTCTTCCGCTTCGGATTCGAGAGCCAGGGCGTTACCAACGTCGGCAAGGAGGGCTAATTGGTCCCCATTCTCGGCGAAAGCTCCTCGCTCGCTGGAAGTGGTAGGAGAAGCGGAGGACGGTCCATCGAAAAGCGTAGACGCCACCTGCGGATGGTGAACGAAGCGTTGCTGCTAGGTCGTGCTTGACCAGAACTGAGCTTGAACGCGAAACAAGCATGTGCTGTCTGTACCACCGTAACTAACCCAGCGTTTCATGCACTCACCGACACCAATGATACGGCGGCGGCATCGTCAAGAACTGCTCCGTGGTTGGCCACTCTATCCAGCATGTCTGCAGCGGCGCTACGTGCTTCAGACAAGGTTGATTCCGCGGATGATCCGATTTCCTGTGCCGGGTGATCAAAAGGTAGAATCTCCGTTGACAGTATACGCTCGGTTTCTTGCACACCAAGGATCGAGGTTCGATTCTGTTCGAAGTAGTCGAGGTTGACGCGACAATGCCACGATTAGCCACATCCACGTGAAGCAAGTTCTGCCAGTAGAATGTGCTTACTTCCGTTGTCTGGGCTGTGGTGTGACGGGTGTCAACACATGGAATGATGTAGCCGTAACAATTGGCTTGATTTGGGGCCTATTTCGCGAGTGCATAGATTGTAGCCATTGAAACTGTACTCAACAAAATGTTCACCAGAATGTTCCTCTCTCCTAGCCCATAACGCACACATACCAAAGGCAGGCACACGTATGGTATCCCCCGAGTCATACGGCGTTCACCATGTGTTTCTGTTCGGGTGGTGTACACGCGCTCCCCGCTACATCCTTAATAATAATGGCAGCATGACATCAATTCAACTTACAGCTAAAAACAGCAGGGCTTCGGCAAGAGCTTGAGACCCTGATGCGATATTGCTCGATGTTCCTTCTAGCGAGAAATAAGCCTTCACGATAAGACCCACGATACCCGCCTGGAATAGTGGGCGGTGAGTGCCATTTGGAAAGGTTTCTTGTTTTCAGAACGAACGTTGACCCAGTTGAGAAGCGGTTGTGGGCAAGGAAGTTTATTAGCGCACTGTTGTTCATTTCGCAACGTTGCTGGTCTCATGTATGTGATGGATCTAGCCGCTAGATCGGAGGCTACCTAAGGTACGCCTAGAAGTCAGGAACCAAGAACGGCTAGACCGCAAGTACCGGGCAACCTGACAAAAGGAAGACATGTCCTTTCCATACTTGTGCGCATCGACATTTTGCATCCAAAAAGGCGCAGGTATGAGTACAAACAACAACGACGGAGGGGCTGCTGAACCCGTCTCGCATTATGAAGGGGAGCACCGCAGGAGTAAAGGCAGGAAATTCCTCCTGTGTTTTTTTTGTTTGCTTGTTTTTCTCCTATCATGGGACTCTGTCGTCTGCTCCTCTGGCCCCTATCCTCCACTCCTACTAGCTAGACGACCCAACCGGGATCACATAGGAGGGGGGGGTTGGACCCCCTCCTGCGGTTCATGCCTGAGGTATTTTTATGGCGAGAACGGTACAGCAATCCCTTCCCTCGCGACATACGAAGTCGTGTATGGTTTACTAACAAAACGAGCTTTGCAGCGCGTCGCTTTCATCCTAGACCAGGATTTTTTAAGTGAGAAAAACACTTTCTCTGCCGGGACTCGAACCCATGACCTGGTCGTTAGCAGGCTGCGATGCTTCACACTAGAACACCGGGGCGACCGGTGTAAACCTCGGTGGTGGGTCAAAAATACCAAAAGGTGTAGACTGGCGCCCAGAATTGGTGAAACGATGAAACGAAATGAACCAAGAACTTTTGTTGAAACAGCACACGAATCCCACCTTGCAGCCTCGCGCGAGCGGAGGTGAACACTTCAGAAAACTCATCTTTCACTCTCATCCCAAGTTGCCGAAGACAGAAGGAGGACTGTCGGAAAGCGCTACCGTGGTGATGCGTGCTCACTGCTGATACTCAGCGACCCCCACCTGAAGGGAGCTCATTGCTTCGACACCGTCCAACGTTGTGAGAGGCACGTGTTGGAGCAGAGCCGTCGCGACACGCGCGTCTCGTAGAGCGTCTTCGGGATAGGGTAAAGATACGTTCTGACACGACGGCTCGTCTGGATAACACGTCAGGTTGTACGCCAACGGCAGCAGAGACGCCTGCTTGCAGGCATCACCGGTGGATTTTGCCATATTTGGAGTGTGAGACAACCGGTGGAGCATATCATGATGTACGTACATACGAAGTGATGTTCCTTGCAAGTCTATTTTTCTCACAGCAAGTATTCCGCCATCGGTTGTTTGACGTTAGACCCTCAACCGTTGCACACGGGTATGGTGGGTCCTCCTGAAGTGTGCCAGATCCAGTACTCTTTGAACCATCTCGCCAGTTGTCTCGCCAGATATTACGTCTGATACACGAGACAAACCTCATCGATCATGTTGATAGGACTCGTTCTACGGGTTCTCCATTTATTGCCGGCAGCTAGCTCCTCTCAACGCCCAGTTTCAAGGATTATATTCGTGCAGAAAACGCGCAAGTCCGTCGACCATGTCGGCCGCTCACCTCCTGTGGTGCAACGGATCTTACTATCATCGGTGCTCCATCTTCTCCAAGGGTTGTTGCTGCCATCGATCCTAGCGTATCCGATACTGACACCACAATCGTAAGGTTGAAGTCGTTACGTGATATACCAGCCGGAACGTTGGTGCTGAGGGTAGTTGAGACCGACGGAGACGAAGACAGCTTGTTCACGAACGTCGATTCGCTGCTGACGCAAAGACGAAGAAAAGACACGCCAGGAGGCCAACGGCCATCAGCTGGACGGGAACAGCAAGTGGTTGCTGCTGATGTGTCTGGGTTCACTCTACGATGTTGCGCCTTGCAAGATAAAAGGACCCAGGTTCAATGACGCACGGGCCTCGAGAGCCAGCGCAGCTGCATCTTACGCAGTTATGCACGTTGCAGACTTGTTATTCCACCTACGTTACATTATTTCACCGGCACTGCCGCGGGCACCCTACACTCCTAAACGTACACTACGGCGAACTCTCGTAGCGCGAGAGAGGAGGTGGAAGCCGCAACAACGGAAAGGATCCCTCCATTGTGATTTCATTGGGCCCGGCTTCGCGGTCCCACGATACCTTGCGATGGTGATCACTTCGTGGTACCCTTGGATGTATCCAAAGGAGTACGTGAGCGGAAGATCGTCAATATCGTCCGTCCACCCCAAGGTCTGGAGTACCACCGGATTCACACCAGCGGTTGCAGATAATCGATCCGATTTCAAGTGCCCCCCAGAAGGCGGGGCGTTTGTCTCGAACGAAAACTCTGTCACGACGAAGGGGAAAAAAATGGCAATTACGAGGTAGGGTTACGAATTCCAATGAGTCTTATGTAGAAGCACGTGCGGCAAAGATAGCAACGGCAGTCAGTGGTTCGGGTCGCACGAGACAAACAAAATGTCTGCTTCCGAACCACAATTCTCCGCGAGCCGATTTGATGGATATGCAACATGAGTCGTCCGTCTTGGCCGACATCCCTTGGAGAGGGTACGGTGGAACAGACGGAAACGTGCGCAGATCGGATGAACCCATGAACGCTGCTTGGTGGTACATGTCAGCGGCCTACCTGCGTAGCCGACGAGCCCGGATGCATCCGTTGCAGAGAGAGAGAAGCTGTAAACCTGCCCTGCGCCGAGGGCACCTTTTCGGATGATGAGAGTCCGAGCGTTAACAGGTGTGCTGAATGCCTCGCTCCACCCGTTTCTGAGATCGAGGTTGCCATTCTCCTGGTGAAACGTGCAACGGCGGGGTATGTGTAGGTAGCTTGTCGGTGCGGGTGGTGGCTGTACTCACGTAACGGACAAGGAGAATAACGTGAACGTACCTGACTTTCGGAGCGTAGTGTACGTTGCACTGCTTACCTGTCGCCACATCAGCTCGAACGAGGACGACGTCGAGGAATCGCATGGCCCCTCCGGAGAAGACGATGCACAGGCGTAGAGGACTATCTTTTCCGAAGGGTTGTACTTGCGTAGGATGGTCTACGAAACGAAAGAGCAAACACAACAGGGCGTGTTAGCTCACCTCATCCAACGGTGCATTACTGTAGACAGACCAATCGCGAACGCCAGCAAAATGTGCACTTTGTGCTTCTTGTGCAGTCCAGAGGGGGGGGGGCAGAGCGTGCTGTAGTCCACTGGAGTCCTTTCGTACCAACACTTGCATTTGTTCAGTATTCAGACGAGCACCGTGCAACTACAGCTACACGGTGTCTGCTCTTGTGTCCAATTTGATGGGTGTGTACCATTCATTATGTATTGACAAACCAGTCATCAAAAGCTTTGAGCTTCGAGAAAAACGCAGAGTATCTCTTGGCAGTTGTCCAGAGAGCTTTTCAGTTTGATGTACGTTCGGTCCATCTACGTACGTAGTTCCAGGGACTTACACTTTTTGGCCACATCTCGGATGCAAACACCCTTCGAACCTCTGCAAACTGCCGCATCTCACAACTACCAACATCCTTACAAGGGATTCAGAGTAACACCGTAGGCATCAAGCCCCTGGTTTCTAGGGGACCTCATAACATATGTTTGACCATCCTGGCACAAAAGTTTCTTGAAACGAACCTTGGGAGATATGGACACGCTCGGTAAACTCTCTGCGAAAGTAGAGATTGTGCATGCCGCCTGGTCGCTTCGGACTTCACTCAGGTCCCCCGTATCGAGCTCTCCCTTCCAGATACTGACACCAAAACGGTAGTGGACACCTGCAGGCAAGACGTTATACAGATGGCTCAGGATACCCACACGGAACTTACATAGTCTATGCTGCGAAAGTTTGATGACAACCGTTTTTCAGGTTTTACCTCAAGGCCCGATTTGGGTTGGGGAGGAAAATGTGTTGATTGCTATCAGCCCACCTCAGCACCACTCAACGCGTGATGTATACCCACCAATAGGAAGAGTGTCAGCAGGGACGATCAGCAATCCCCCGCTAGCGAATGAGTCGAAATCCAGGGATGCTGCGCTTCGCGACTGGCAAACCGCTCCGGCTTCGTCGGTGCAATTCCATCTGAACTCGAAGGGGAGCTGGTCCACCTGATCGTCGTCTACCGACTCTGACGCGTTCAAGTAAAGAGTCTGGGGAGCGGACAGAGTTGTGATTCGTTTTCACCCTTCACGGGTCAATCCACAGTTGGCCGCAGTGCAAGAGAAAAATGCCAAATGATTCCATCAGTGTACATGAACAAAGGTGTGCACAGCTCGCGAAATTACATCCTAAGCAACAAGCGTAACAAAGGGCGTACCTGCGAAGCGCCTAGCCTCCTCGCCGTTCCACCAGCTATGTAAGCGATGATAGCTCCACTGACGACCTCAACTTCTCGAGCAGTGCGTGGAAAGCGCCGTCGGGTCAGCGCACAAGGTCCAAGCGGGAGAGCGGAGAATATAAACAGTAGACTAGTTCAACCTACGATATTCCTGGATTAGTACAAACACACAAGGCCGAGCGGAGTCGTGCATCCCTCGATGCACGATACGCAGTTCATGGGTACGTCCCCGTTGTTGTGTGAAGAGACGCGTGTCTATTCTTCTTTTCTCGTCGTATGCTTTGCTGCAAGGACCCACCTGTTGCGGTAGCCGACGTAGCGCTCTGGATACCGTCAGCCAAATCCACCCGAAAGACATACGCACTTCCGGCGTAACCCAGCGCGTATGGAGGAAGCGTGAGAACGCTGGGATTTCTTCCGCTGGTCAGGACAAGGGGCGGAAAGTCTGCCGTCGCACTGGATTCCGACAACACGGTCCAAGCGTATGTGTTGTTGCCGTTTTCGACTCGAGGTAGGGACACCTCGGTACGGATGGTGAGCTGGAGACCACGCCAATGCTTCCGCGATGCCGACCCGGCGATCTGTATTCCAACGACGTCAAGCGCGCGGGAGAGACGAGGAACACGCTAGGTGTGCTGAACGTCGAAGATATGTTCAGGCGGAGGGGCGTAGTTCTCCCCAATACAGGAGCGCTTGATGCTTGAGCGGATGGTAGCTTTCCTAGACTGATGTAGGCAGCAAGGTATGGAGGCCACGGATTTTGTAACCTTATTGCTTACGTCCTGTAGTCTACAGTAGTCAAAGGAAGATCGCCTGTTTCAGTCGGAAACAATCAACACATGTCGCACCTTCAAAGCGGGAAGTGCTTCAGCGGACTTGAAAACTTCGATGCTGGCCTCTCCCGAAACACCAAGCGCTGACTCGACGCGCAGGCCGAATATGTACGTAGACCCTTCATCCAAGCTAGTGCTGGGTAGCGTGACGACAAAGTCTTTGGCAGCGGCACGCTGTCGTGAGGTAACGAGATGAACGGTGTTTAGCAGCGGCCTACCTCAAACATGTCGGCATATGTCGTACTTGTACGTTGGCCAAAGGCGTGTTGTCTACCCATACCGACATACCTGCTATACGGTTACATTTGTCAAATGGCGATATGCTGGCAGTAGACTACAAGATGTTCCAGTTGTGCAGCGAATATACTTGTCTCTTGCTGCTCGTCTGGACATAGTAGTGTGCAACGACTTGGTGTGGACTTCGCTTTTGGTCGTCCAAGTTTTCATGCTTCCTACCATCTTGGTCGCGGTTACGATACAGAATGATTTCGTGGAGGGGTTGCACCAAACTCTCCTTCATGCCTGCTGACGAGCGCCCTACTGGTACATCAAACTCACTTGTTCAAAGACTGCTCTCGCGTCGGTCAGATCGAACGTTCCGTTGCCATCTGTGGCCTTGATAGTCCAATTCAACTCGATATCTAGATGGCAAGCACCGGTGAACGAGGAGAGCGCCAAAAAAAAAAAAAAGGCCACTGAGTATGCCAAGGAAGATATTGCCCCATCATTATTTAACGATACACTCCGACTTCCGTTGTCACCGAGTACAATTTCGCAAATGCACACTCACTTGGATCGGCGAATGCAACGTTTCTTGTCTCCCTTAGTTGCTCAAAAAAGTAGTTGTTCCCGGAGAAAAATTCAGACGACACAAGAGTCGATTCCGCACCCCGTAGTGTTGCCTTTTTTTAGCTGGAGTTGAATTTGATAGAGTTCAGGACCCAGAATATGGGGTGGGTTCTGGCGAGAGTACACCAACGGCTCGTGTCATGCCTACTTTCGTGTGTGCCCTGGCGTTTGATTTGGGTTGACGATGTACGAACGTTCCATACACTGGCAGTTACCTGGAAAACACCGCAAGTTCCGCAACATTGCAATATACGACCACCCACGCTCTCGACGAACCTGTCGAAGGGTAGCTCGCAACGCCTTCCAGGACCAGGTTTGAACAGCAACCCACCACTTTGGGAGCACTGATTTCCACCACCGGTTCGTTTGGATTCAACGCCGGACCGACCGCCACGCATCCAGGTTCCGACGAAAGAAAAGCCTCGATCTATGGGAGGGTGTGCAAATGTGTATTGGGGGTTACGTGCATTCTTTCAGACACGTCTTCTCTACCCTTAAGATGGCAGGGGTTCTCCCTGGGAACTCGTACCCGGAAAACACTTAGCTCAGAGTCGGAGCATGGCATTTCTGAAACGCGGCAACAACGCATGGACCTAGACGATCGGAGCTGGTCCGGTCACTCCGATATTGGTAGTGTAAATGCCCACCTCCGTGCGAACTACTCCACCCAGTAATGACAGCGAACTTCCGTCGCCGTCGGTGCAATTGGAGAAGCTCGAAGGCCGGATTGTGTAGTGAAAGCCGAGGGTGATCTGAGCGTGCGTGCGACGATCGTCAAAATCAAGGTTTGGTGGTAGTCCGCGACAATGCGCGGTTGCGGGTAAGCAATCGCCACAGGTCCCTGGCAAGGCACTTCGTACAGATACGTTCTATTGGTCAACCCCATAAAAAAAATGGCGCCTAAACGGAATGGGGGCGTGCTCTCCTTACCCTACCTCACACCTCTGGGTACGTTTGGAGGAACTATTGTCTCGCTGAACTCGTTAGGCCCTGAGTGTAAAGTCCCTCCTCTTCACTGATCTCACCGCAAGGGTCGACGCGGAAGCGAACTGGCTAGTGCAGCCTATGCCCAACGTGACCGCAGAGGTGTTGGAGAAAACCTCTTCGCAAGCCACGGGAGCATAGCTACCGTTGACTTCCCGCGAAGATTCGCTCCCTTCAAAATACACAAACACCTGCACGTACAGCAGAGAACGCTCACCGTGAAATGCGTATGCACAGCAACCAAATTAATTGCTGACGACACCGTTAACCTCTGGGTGTATTGAAACAAGGTATCTGTGATTCATTCAGGGAAAAATCAGCCCATCAATCAACCTCTGACGGAAGTGGGAAAAGGCGCCGCTCTCCAACACATCAGGCGGAAGCAGTCACCATCCATCAGGGACGGGCAGCTGCTTATTGGGCAGTATTCTGACAGCAACTTGATGGAAACCGTCAGTGCCGCAGCTTTCAGGTTTCCAGTCGACAACATGATTTCGAAAGTGAAGAACTAAACTCTCGACATCGATTGGTCTACAGCACGGAACCGAAGGATTAGATTTTACTCCCGACCAGAACATCCCATGATAAAAGCAACCGAGCGCCTCAGAAAACGCATTGACAGGAGCCTCCGACACTGTCGAGTGCCTTGTTACAATCAGAAACGAATCACTGCATACTATGGACAGTACTCCATGCGTGTACACCGAGGAAGGCGCTTGCTTGTCCATGAACACATTAGCCTATCATTTGTTTTGAGCAAAAGCATTATTTGGTGTGGGGCAAACCTGTTGACCGGTGTCTGAAAACCGCGCAGACGACAGCTCTGGCGGGAGCATGCGACCCTGCAGAACCACCGATCCTGACGATGCATCGAGATGGACAAATGCAGGTAGGATTTCGGATAAGATTGAAATAGACTAACGGCAGTGATTGTCGTAGATGGCACCTCGCCATAAAATGATGTATATTGCAGGCAACCTCGAAGGCACCCCTCGACAGCGAAAGAAAGACGTTCATGCACGCACCCGATTTACATTTGGAGGTACAACATGAATGTGTAGCTCCCTACATGACTAAAGCAAGAGCAGATGCAACCCAAAGGAGCGAAGACGAAGAGCAAACCCCACCCTTCCTTCAGAAGCGTTGGAGAAAAGAAAATAAACCTTCAGAAGCAAGAAGAACGACCGAAAAAACAAGAGCCATGTGTTCTTTATATTGCTATGCGTTGCTGACCCTGCCCCCTGGCCCTCTACGTAGAGCTGGTATGGTCATCAGCAGCAGCACGTGTACGCCTACCGGTGGTATGAGGCCTGTGTATGGCGTCTGTGTGTGTGTCCATTTTTTTCGGCATCGACCGCGCTAACCGACTGACCAATGTCATGAAGCCAGTCTCAGAACGGTTGAACAGAGAGATTGAATGGTTCTCAAGGCCATGATATGGGACCCTGCTTGGTGCAATACATGCGAACAAATTATTGCGGCACTTTACCGGTGGGCTCTCCGGGGGGTTGAGTAATAAATACCAAGTGTTTTGACATGGCGCCAGATGATAGTATGAGTTAGTGCCGTGCTTCCCATCACCTGTGGCGTATTCGGTGCAGCCACTACAGCCAGCAAGGTACTCGCCCGAAGGGTTTAACGTGATGACGGATTGTTCGCCCAACGAATAACCTGCGGAACAGGGTGATATGAAAGGCTGACGTTATCATGCTAAACGGTAGCGCCTATTTTAAACAGTGAATGGCTGGCCTCAGCTTCACTCATCATTTTGACTGTTTCCAGTGCCGGCGGGTGTTGTTGGACACAGCATGTCTAGCCTGCGGGCGCCTCAAGCTCCGTCAGTACGACGAACGGGTAAGTGATTGCAGGCGTTTGTCGTGGTAACCTCGAAGTTACCCTTGCAGATTAAACCGACCGTGACATGCCAATATCACCACTCAGAGGCCATATTCATGGTTTCGTCAGAAAATCGAGATGTTAACCTTCGCCGAAAACGACTGTTGCCGTGGTTTCGTCCTTCCAAGTGCACGATGGGGCACTGCCTAGGCTCGCCACCGTATCTTCGTCGAGCAAGTCGCCCGCGGTGCACTTAGACCCAACGCACGTCCCTCCATTGCACCACAGTCCTGATGCAGCAGTAGCGTCATATTGCTCTTCCAGTCAAAACAATGGCTGGTTCACCTCTTCATCGGTATTTCCAAACATGACTGTGGCAAAACAAATGCTGTTCGGTGAATCTTTTTTCGTCTGGCCCTGTATTCTTCTCGCACGGTTTTGAGCAACAACATATGTATGTGGGTAGGCAAATGCGTTGTTGTCCGTATTTCCAACGTCCATCAAAAGCAAACATCAGGCGGTAAGGATTCTCTGCACCAGATAACATTGTGGATTCGGTAGAATGCACGCGAAAACTCATACAAAACCTGAGCTGCCTATGCCGAGTCCAAAAGCTAAGTCCATCCCTATCAAGGCCGCCGCCAGCCTAGCCTCCTCGAGCTTTGGGCGCGATGATAGCATCGTTGGCCCGGGCGTCGTTGTGGGTGTAGGGGATGGTGTTGGTGAAAGGATCGGTGCTAGAGTCGGTGCCAGAGTCGGCGCAAGAGTCGGCGTAGGCGTCGGCGCAAGAGTCGGCGCGGGAGTCGGCGCTGTGGTCGGTGCTGTCGGTGCTGGTGTCGGTGCTGGTGTCGGTGCTGAGGGGTCGGCGCACGCAATAGGTGCAGGCGCTGGTATTGGGGTCGGCACTAAAGTCGGTGTGGGAGTCGACGCGGGAGTCGGTGGCTAGTCCAACTTTCACTAGGTTGGGACATTTCGGTACTCACGGTGTACGTAGCATGTCGATGAAGGGTCCCGACAGATGTAGGTTGATGACTGGCCGCAGATGTAGCGCGCATCAACGCAATCGCATTCGCAGCCTAATGATCAGGGTGGTTGTTTGGTGCCGAAGATGCAGGAAAGTTAGGACGCAATAGATGGCAACGTTGAATAGGAAACGTACAAAGCTACAGGAGTGACCAGCGGTCAATGAGCAGTGAGCGAGGGTACATTCACCTCAACGACCACACACGGCTTGGTTCAAACTCACAGTCTCCGCCATCCCATTGGCATTCCTCGTTGTTGTTATCGGCTACTTGACCTGTTGAGCTGTAACCTGTTGAGGCGAAGCGCGGTCAGAGCAAGAGAGCGTGACCCGTCATCGGGAGTACGGTTTTGCAAGATGCAATCCAGACAGGGCGCTCGACGCGAGCCTCTCTAGTGCCAATAGGTAAAGGCTGTACGTGTTGACTTCGAAAGCTTGTTCAACATGAGCGCCGCCCTCCCAGACTCACCGTCCATGTCATCACAAATGCCATCGCCTATCCAGTCCTCGACTCCATCACATGCTGCATGAAGGGGAACCATGGGATGTGGGGAGGATGACATTGGGGCGTTAGAAACCGACCTACGGACATGTGTCGTCTTACCAAAGACCGATTCACCGAAAACCCTTTTTGATGCAAGGACAATCCGATTCTGCGTTCGCTTTGTGTCGATCGGCAAGCCTGCCATGTCCGTTGTGTACCGAAGAGGGTGGGTACGGGAGCGCTCAACAAATACCGACTTAGCGGAATTTCCGCGGAAGGAGAACGGTAAAGCCTCCATGGGAAGCTGGTAGAGTGGAGAGCACCTACAATAGGGTCAAGATAAACGTGTGCGTGTTCTAATCGCTTTCTTGGTCCCCGGCAGCTTCTCTGTACTGGTTACATCACATAGGAATCTCTACATGGGAGTATAGCGACAGAAGCTAATTCTAAACGCACACCTTGTGTGGGAGCGGGGGTGGGAGCGGGGGTGGGTCCACACACAATGTCCATAACCACGAGGCCGCCAGTGTCGTCGCTTGCTGCCATAGAGATGAAGAGCCTTTTCGTGGTGCTGGAAACGACAAACCCAGCGATGACCCCAGACACAGTGTTCGTTTCGCTGTTGAGCTGAACCGCGACCCCACCGGATAATTCCCCAGTGGAACTGTCTCGCTGGAACACTACAACCTGCGGCGTATGGGGAGGATTTTTGTACAACGCTTATGAGCACTGTGGACGTAGAGATGTTCCACGTCTCAGTCAACTTTTGAGACTAGACGAGAAACAACGCTTTCGTCGGGCAGGATCGCACTTCCTGTCAAGGGGCACCGCTGATATAGTCCGAAAGGGTGCCACAAGAAAAGAAAGAAGCCCAGCGGACGGGTGTCTCTGATAGTACAATCAGTCCGCGGATCGTATGAGGATTCTCCGGTGCCCTGATAACCACTGAAGTTTCAATGCTGAGCACAGTACATACCAACTTTGATACACCCCGAAAGGCCACAATAAACTTTCCAGCTAGTGTGGTGCGTCCAGACAAAGCGCGTGCAACAGTCGTCGAAGATGCTATCACCACGCACTCCTCCATGTTCTGCCAAAGATTTCGTTTCGGGCAGATGCATTTTTCCACCCCGTAAGTGGCTCGCTGATGGTTGAAGGATGTGCCCACCTCGTCAGAATCGTATCGACCGATCAACACCGATAGCTCGAGCGCCTGCGCAACGAACACCTCTCCGGAAGT